TAGGAAGTGTGATGCCTCCAGCTTTGTTCTTCTTTCTCAGGATTACTTTGACTCTTTGGGGTCTTTTGTGGTTCTATAAGAATTTAAGAATTATTTTTTTCTATTTCTGTCAAAATTGCCATTAGAGTTTTGTTTTGTTTTGTTTGTGTTTGTTTATTTCTTTTGTTAACCCTCACCCGAGGACATTCTTCCATTAATTTATTTAATTTAACTTAATTTTTAGAATATAATTTTATTAATTTCAGAGGGGAAGGGAGAGGGGGAGAGAGAGAGAGAAACATCAATGATGAGAGAATCATTGATTGGCTGGCTGCCTCTTGCACGCCCTCAACTGGGGATCAAACCCGCAACCTGGGCATGTGCCCTGACCTGGAATTGAACCGTGACCTCCTGGTTCATAGGTCAATGCTCAACCACTGAACTACACCGGCCAGGCCATTTTATATATATGTGTATATATATATATATATATACATACACACACACACACACACACACACATACACATATACACATACACACACACACACACACACACACTAGAAGCCCGTTGCACGAAGATTCGCGCAATAGGCCTTCCTTCCCCTGGCTGCTGGCACTGGTTTTCCTCCAGCACTCGGCACTCAGGCCTTTGGTCTGGCCGCAACGGAGAAGCCAAGCCTCTTCAGTCTTCAGTCAAAACAGTGTGATGCTGGCATAAAACAGACACATTGGTCGAGTGGACAAGAGACAAAAAATAAACCCCCCCCACACAGTCCACCCTTGGCAAGGAGCCAAAGACACGCCTGGGAAGGACCGTCTCCCAGTTAGCGGTGCCGACTGTACAAACATCGACCCGAGTAAAGACAGAAACCACAGGCTCTTAGGAGAAACGCGGGACAAAGCCCCTGACGTGCATCTTGTCACCGACTCTTGGACATGACACCCAACGCACAGGCAACAAAAGCAAAAATAAACAAGTGGGACCACATGCAACTGCATCGCTCCTGCACAGCAGAGGAGCCACCGCAGAGCGAAAGGCCAGGGGGAAGTAGCTGCAGACCGTCTCCTCGGTGGGTCATGCCCTATGTTTATAAGGGGCTCTTACAGCTCAGCTAGAGACGGCAAAGGAGCTGAAGAGCAACGTCCCAAAGAACACATGCGGCCCCTGGGACCTGGGAGGCGCTCAGCACCGCCCGTCACAGGGAGACCTGCAGCACAGCCACCGCGCGACGCCTGTCAGGAAGGCCACCGAGGAGAAGGCCGCAGGCCACAGGTGCTGGCGAGCCGCGGGGGCGCTGCCGGAGGAACGTAACGGAGCAGCCACGACGGGAACTAAAATTAGAACAAGAGCCATATGGCCCACGATCCCGCTCTGGGAATATGTCCAAAGGAAATAAAATCTGCATCTCGAAGAAAGAGCCACGCCCCTGCTCCCCGCAGCCTGACCCACAGGAGCCACGACAGGAGCGCCCCGCGCTGTCCGCAGGCCGGAAGCGGCGTGACACCTGCACGAGAGTACGGTTGAGCCTTAGAGAAGAAGCAGATGCTGCCACTGGCGACAACACGGCTGGACCGGGAGGACCTGATGCTCAGGAAACGACCGACCCAGAAAGAAAACCACTCAGGACATCACTGCTGTCTGTCAGCCCGAGAAAGCCCAGACGCCGAGCAGCGCGGCGCCGCAGAGGTGGGTGCGGA